GGCTCTGAGATCTTGGATTCCAGTAATGGCTGCCGTTAGCAGTCCAGAGGTATATAGTCAAAGGATATTCCTGATACATCTACGCCTGCAATGCTGCGATCGCGATATGCTGGATTCACACTGCATCTGATTTTCGTCGTACGACACTCTGCAACCAATCAGAAAACAGGATTCGGATGGATTTTGCTTCGTATCATCGGAATTCTGTTTTCTGATTAGTTGAAGAGCATCGTACGACGAAAATCGGATAGTGTGAATCCAGCAATACAGCGAGGGAGCGAGGCCGAACCGAATTGGCTAGACGATTTCCGGAAGAATCAGGGGCTCTATTCTTGAAAAGCAACTTATACGAAAGTCTAGGGAAATGCTACAGGGTACCTATCACAGAACAAGTCGGAATCGATTCCGATCGGAATTATTCAATTATTCCCTAGATTTCTATTGTGTTTTCTAGGGAAAACGGAATAATTCCGATCGGAATCCATTCCGACATATTTCATGATAGGTACCCTGTTCTTTTTGGCCGAACTTTTGCACCAGTTCATCTTTCTTCCTTTTCTCTTCAGGAGGAAAGAAGAGGAAAACAGATGAACCGGTGCAAAACCGGTTCAGCCAAAAAGAACAGGCCTTATAATATTAATTTTCTCGCGCATGTGCAACGGAGACACGTAAGTAGAAAGAAAATCGAAACAATCAAAGTAAAAATATGTAAAGCCGGCGGACAAGAAGTCAACTTGACATCCAATAGGAAAGCCTGACTCTTAGGAATTTCAGCAACGTAACCACAACATCACTAGAATATGCGAGAGACCATCCTGATTCTTCCAGAAATCATCTAACCAATCCGGTTCGGCCTCGCTGTATCGCGATCGCAGCATCGCATAGTCGCAGGCGTAGATATATCAGGAATATCAGTATCAGTATCAGTTTTTCAGTACACGCAGGTGCATAAACGCGTCGGTTATTCACAGTTCACACGGCGGTTGACGATTATCGAGACGTAAAGGTGCGGTAACGGGCACCTCGCCGAATCACTGTCACAGATCATCGTAATTGCGAAAAATGCGACAGCCGCGCGTATGAGCGAACCCCTAGGTAAAAGAGAAAAAAAAGAAAAGAAAAAGGGAAAATCGCCGCGTTTCCGTGTGCGGACATCGTGCACGGTCCCGTAACAATATAAATACGCCACGCCACGGCAACTACCATATTCGATTCGTTCGGGTCCGGCTGTTCTTTTTTTTCCTTCTCTTTCTCTCTCGTTCTTGTTCCCTCCGTCTCTCTCCGTCGAACGATGCATCTCGCTCTTTCTCGGACACGATCGCCTCCGTGATATCTGATGATACAATGCTCGTACGTCCCGAGGTGCGATAGCCTCCGTTATCCGTGAAATCGAGCCCGATAGCCGCCGCCTCGCCCCCCTCTCCCCCCCCTCACGTTCCTACCCACCGATCTTCTTGTTTCTTTCGCGATCGCGAACGGCGAACCCGCTGGCCGCCGCCGCCGCCGCTGCCTCCCCCCCTCCTCTTCCTCTTCCTCCCGCTTCCGCTCGTGTTGCGTGTCTGCGTTCGCGACGCCTGATATAAGTGATTATCGTACGACCGTACGACGCCGAGTGCTTCGACGCTTCGGCTACGCGAGCCTCTCGGCGGAGACAGATCAATCGACTCCGCAAGGTAAAAGTTGGAAGAAATGGATGGAGTCGTAAACTGATAGCGCGCTTTAAAATGATGACGCTTTAAAAAAAGTGAAGTCGATCAGTCTTCAGAGCTCTGTCCCACGAGAGACTCGTATCCATAGTCGTGGGGATTCTCGCGGTCCCTGGGCGTTCTTGAGGGAAAGGACGGAATTTATCAACAATCTGTTCCCCTTGACCGTACTTGTGTTTTGTCGTTATTTGAAATAAGTGTCTTCTCAGAGATACGGACGGACAGACGGAGAAAAAGAGGAAGATCGTGAGAGATCGCAGCTGAGAATTCAGCTTCGGCTGATCGTCACTTTTCCCCCCACAAAAAATTTAGAACCGCGATAGCTATATAATTAACAATTAAAACGAACAAACGTTGGTTTGAGCGCTCAGTAATAATAACAAATAGTAGATTAACAATTAAATATATAAAGGAAGTTTAAATTAGCGGACGAGAGAAAAATTGGATTTTTGTTCCAGATTTTTCTATGAATTTTGCTTCGAATTGGTTTAATATTATTTTGAAAAGAATAATTTAATGTTATCATTGTGGACAGGTAAATAATAAGTTGCGCCACAGTCCTTGAATCGTGCAAAAGCAAAACAGTCATGGAATCATCAGATAGAAAGAACGTATATCTTACAAAGACCGGCGACAATTCCTTGAACTCTGGAATGAGGGAGACTATGATTGTCGGTCAGGCTAATATGGTACCAGGTATGTAGTCGGAATAAGTATTATTATGTAAATTCGTCTTGGCTGTGCCATAACTCATGTATTTTCTTTGTAGAGTGTGGTGCAGAAGGTGTGATGAAACCCAATAACGTGTCCAATGTTTCCACTAATCAAACAAAGTGGACTAATAACTCTAAAAATTATATCACAATACCGGTGAAGAACGAGGTGAGACAACTAATGCAATGCCTTAAAAATACTTGAGTTTATAATGACTCAAAGTTAAACCATATAGAAAATACAATTTAAATAATCAGAGAAAAAGGGGATAAATTGTTATTTGAATTAGATCTATTTAATTAAATAAATGAAAAATTTATTATAAAGTTCCTCATGATGTCTTCTAATTATATTATGAGAGTTAATACTTATTTATATATACTATACTTAATTAATGATAATACTATTCTATTTCACAGGTCGTACATCTTGAAGACGGTAATGCACATTGCAACAACAAGAAAATGTATTATTATGATAGACACTACACTGGGCATGAGGAGCCAGAGAGACCAACACGCAGAGGAACAAAGAGATATAGAGACAAGGATGCACCAAAACGGGCATTGTACGTTAAATTGAAAATGAATAATATTTAGACAGAAACATATTTCAAAGAATTATATCTCAAAGATGCGTTAATAATATTAACTTTCGCTTTTTCGTTTTGCTATGATTTTATCAATGAAGATTTTTGCAAATCCAGACAGAATTTGTCGATACAAAACAATATCTAAGTGTTGAAGTTTTGTTATAATATTTATAGTGATTTGATATGTTATAGATCTGCATTTTTCTACTTCTGCCAAGAACTACGTGGCAAGATGAGAGAATTGCACCCTGAAATGGGAGTAGGTGACATCGCAAAGGAATTAGGAAAATTGTGGATGAGTACGGATTTGCAGACAAAATCCAAATATATGGCCATCGCGGAGGAAGACAGAGCTCGATATGAAAGAGTATGTTTATACCGAAATACATATTAAAGACATTCGATTTTAATATATTCTGTTGATTTGCATTAATGTATGGTAATTGATTATCTTGACATTCACAAATTTAATGAAACGATTTTTAATGTAGGAAATCATCGCATACAACAAGAGAGTCAAAAATTATGACCCGGAGGAAGTTGGAACCGTATAAATTATAATATGGATCCATGGGACAGACAAGGATGACAACTTTATTCTAATTCAAGAACTGCAGATGGAGTTCAAACTTGCAACAGACAAGCGAGTTTTACTACTAACCTAGAATTATCGTTGTATATATTATGTATACTGTTGATATTGTCCGGAAAAGAAAGAAATTGTCTCTCAGAAATTTGGTTATATACTTAGAATGCTAAAAAAGCCAAATTCGAAAAAAGAAGAGTTCCATTTTGTAATGAATTTCTATATCGCATATGCAAAAATGCTATATTATATACATAACTAACATGTGCATTATATGATATATATCTTATATACAGTTATATCTTACATATAGTTATATATAAGATATATGTTATATATACATGC